AATCATTAGACAATCATACAAATTGCTTGATAGATGTGTTATTTATAAGACTTTGAATTTTCTAGTTATGGACTTTCAGGACTGTTATTAATCAATTTATCTGTTATCATATTGATTTCTTGAGAAAATACCTTGATGTTTTATGTAAATTCTAATTGATTATACAGGTGGTTAAAGTAAATAGTACTAGTTCTGAATGTTAGTGTTTAAGAATTAACACTGGGAATCGGGTAGATGTAGCTGAATAGTCTCAAATAGGATAAAACATCCATCCTAGATCGTTACTATCACTCAGCTTTCTGTAATCAGCTTGCCATTTTAAAGTTAAGTTAAATGGGTATTAGGATAATAATTAGAAACTGATTTTCTGTTCGAACTGACTGTAGGACAGTTTAATAATAATAATAATAAAAATAATAATATTAACTATGCACTTGTCCCAATTAGAATGCTTATTTTTACAAACAGCGTACACTGTATGTGAGGCTTAGCCTACCAACGATTACAATTCCAGATTCATGATAAGCAACTTTGGGTATTTGAGTTAACAGAATACCTTATTTGTTTGGACGATCAAGAGTTTCTTAGGACCAAAGAATAACGTCTTGAATAACTTGTATATTAATTTCTGGCAATTAAAAAACAATTCAAAGCCAATGATCATTTCTAATAGTTGTGAAACTGTTCAAATACTGATTTCCTTACCAGTCGTTTTTCCCTTAGATCATCACAAATACCCGATATATGAAACTCATGACTTCTATATGTTGTTTCGAATTATTTTACATTGTATTATCTTCAAAATTATCGGATCTACGTTTTACGGTGATTTTGGATCATTGATTAGTCTTAACTGGAAAACGTTTAAAATCCGAAGAAAAAAATCAACAGTTGTATCTTCCTAGTTTGTGGTTTGCATTTAGTATCCACTTAAAAATCTAAAATCGGAGCATCACATCGCTCGCGACACCTGAGTTAATATTTATCAGTTCAAAGTTTTAAATTCTAAGTAATTTACACTATGAAAAGATCACCATACGTTGTCAACTATGGTGTCGAAGTTCAAATGAGGTATTTATTTAAGAAGAACAGTGGATGGTTAAGATTAAAAACATTATACAATCAGATAACATCTCAGTGTCATAGGGGTAATCGCTAGATCTGAAGATCATGCATGTAATCCCCGTATATAGATATCATTAACAAGAAGTCGTAAGCTAGAACTAAACACGTGTTTATTATGTTGTAAATAACTGAGTACTTAACTCAGTAAACTAGTCACATATTTATTTAGTGTAATAGTTTAATTTTATAGTGTTGTATATTGTGTCTACGCAGTAGGTAATTTATTATTTAATGGCAAGTGTTATCCATTTTTACTTCATTTGAAATCAAAGTATTATTGGGTGTAAAGATAAAAATTAGTGTATTCAGACAAAGAATGAATAACCCATTTCAGATATTTGGTAAATAGATTAAGTGAGCCAAGAAACATGTAAGTTCACAATCTGATAAATCATCATCATGTTTCAAGGTATAAAGAATCATAGACTTATAAATAAAAGGTTCTACATATCTTTATTTTAAAAAGAATATTACTGGATACAAAATCAAAAAAGCAGGAAGACATAAGACATGATATTAAACACCATAGATACTTAACAGTCTTGACTTCAGTGTTGATTGTCATGTCTGAAGAACCAAATATCATGTTGTTATTGTGTGTTCTAATTTAATTTATATTTTCTTTTTCATTAAATACGATAAACTATTTGATCTAATAGTGAAATTATTGCTGAGATAAAGTATACTTTACATGGAAATCACTATTATTGTTAAATAAGCTGTATCATCTAATTCGTCCTGAATTACTTCGTCAATTTTGACATGATTCAATAAGTTCAATCACTCATAACAAAGAAGAATGTATAATATAGTGATGGAATGGTTTTATTTGTTTTATTTAGTGCTGATATTCAGAATCTGGATCCAAATTTTTGGTAATCTAATTAATTTATAGATGCACGTTTAAATTCAGATGAGATACTTTTTAAAAATTTCCTGAATTTACAAAAACAACCCTATATTTTGTAGCCACAGATTATTATTATTATTGATTCTCTGTTACTATGATGAACCTTATCCTTAAGCAACTGAGAACAATTTATGAAATTATCAGAAATTGTCAGAAATAATGTTATAATCCCATGACTCACAAAACATTATTTTATTCACTATCATAGTGAGTACATGAACAATAATTTTTATTAGTTGACATCATGAGTCAAATGAAGCTAGATCACGATAGAAAACCTGGAAGCACTGGACGGCTGTCTAGTAGTTAAGCGCTCGCGTGCTAGACCGATAGGTCCTGGGTTTGAAACTCAAGAGGCGGAATTGTGGACGCGCACTGCTGAGGAGTCCCATAATAGGACGAAACGGCCGTTCAGTACTTCCCAGGTTTTCCATGGTGGTCTAGCTTCAATTGACTCATTATTTCAACTATTGAAATTACCATAATATCCACAAAAACCCCTTTTGACATTCATGAAATTATGTTGACATTTTTTCTAAATATGTACATGATAATTTGGTATGAACTGGTGAATTAAGTGTTAGCATTGTTGAAATTTTATTTTCTGAGAATTTTCAGGAAAATAAAACCTTTTTACAAAATAACAACCAACTTTGTTTGTTTAGTTTTTCAAGTGAATACAGTTACTATATTCTCCATGATATTTGATAAAGAGATTTATGTTGCATGAAAAATGATCATTCAATGTGAACTGAACCCAAGGCCTTCACTCTCGCGTGCGAACGCTTAACCTCTACACCATTGAGTCGGCGTACACTGGTGTTAATGTCTACCCTCAACCAATCCATGAAATTGCGCGACCATCTTCCATTGTACTAAGGCAGATACTTGTCTCTACCTGACACGGATTAGCTCCACTGGTCACGGCTTCTCACTAGAACTCCAAAGCTAGTCACTAGTGATGAATATTAGTTAGGAGTCTTAAAATAAAACCAAAGTATATTCGCTCAGTGCTTTGTATACAGTTTATGAGGTAAAACACCTCTAAAATACTAAGGTGAATTTGGTTTTTATTTCAGTGAAACTTATGAAACTCTCTACACATTGATATTACAGTAACTAATAATAGTGTGAATATCGATCACAGAAAATATTGATTTTTACAAGTAACTTCGAAATTTTGAACAAGTTGGTAGCGAATCGAATTCAGTAAATGGGTTCTGTATTGAAGTGTCACTAAATAACTATCAACATTAGGATAAATGTATATGTAATCTACTAGTTCCGAAAAGAACAAAGCGAGCCTATATCTAAATGTACCGAAAGCTTGTAATTAAAATGAAAAATCAAAGTACCCTCTCTGAACAAGCATACATCAATATAAATCTTTACAACGAGTATAATGTATATCTATTCACTGAAGCTCCTAATCTAAATTAACAAGATCAGTGTTTATGGGACTGATACTCTTCAAATTAAACAAAATCCCTAAAAAACGACATAAATCAATATATTTTGAAAACCTTTTTCCTTTTCATTTAAATTACTTAAACACGAATTCATGTGTAGTGGTAAAATAGATACTTTTCAATAAGAAATAATGTTACATAAATGTTTTTAATTGTAATTATCAATGTCAACTAATTGGTAATATGTATCAATGATATACGTAGTATAGGATATTAGTAAACGGCCATTTCGTCTTAATGTGGGACAACTCAGTAGACATTAACACCATTGGATGCCGGTTCAGTGGTCTAGAAGTTAAGCGTTCGTGTGCGAGACCGGTAGGTCCTGGGTTCGAATATCTCTATATATTTACCAAACAACTTTATTTATCATCCGTTCAACTTTGGTTTTTTTGTATTAAATTTCCGGATGGATTACTGTGTTTATGATACATTTCAGGGTTAACAATTCAAGTATTTATTAGTAACATTGATGCTTTATAAGACAATCATATTGTCTTTAAAAAGAAACAAAAATAATCTGAAAGATTGATTGAAATAAATAATCTAAGAGAGAATATCGACAACTAAAGTTTATTTCAATAAAACTTATCATTTATGGGATGAAAATGACTGAGGGGGGGGGCGGGGGGTAAATCGAACGTATACTATCTGTATGAGAACAATCTAATCAAGTTTAAACTAACAAAAAAAATTCATCACCATGTTTAAAGCATTTTCATAGTTTTGGACACGGAGTCGTAGTTATCGATGGAAGTCAATCAGTATCAGGTGATTTCATTGACATTACTGCATGATTATCATCCTTAAGAAGTGGAATAACTTCACTTGATTTACAGATTACATAATGTATTTCATGCAAAAAAGTTTTATTATTTTTTTTAACGAAACCATCTTCAGTTACCAATTGAACACAAAATAATAAACAAACTGGTGCTATATCTAACTTCGGAACTTAATAAATTTGAAAAAGTACATCAATTTCAATTAATTAGAAAGTTAAGACTATACATTGTGAGCATTTTTCTCCATAGTGGTGAACCACTGTTGTTTGAAAGTACATTTTATTGTTGAATAGATGGAGGTGATTGGCTGGGAATCTTTGAATTAGATTCCCAATTAGTAGAATAGTTATCACAAAATTGTAACCACTATTTAAAGTGCACACATTTTATAATGTCTTATACTAGTATTACCTTATAGCTGGAATCAAATATATTGACTAAAGTTTAAGATTTCTAGTTAATTGCTCCTAATTATTGGGCAAAATGGACTATAATAGTTTCATTGGCAACAGTAAAAACGTAACAGTGAAAACGCTTAATGAGTTCTATGGACTGAATGATATAACACTGGTTTTTAAAGTTGACCAAGAATGATAACATTTCAGTATTTGCTAATAATACATCAGTGGTATAATTATATATATATATATATATATATTACTTAATACCACCGGAGATACTACTCACAATAAACATCAATTGTTGACTTACTTCTAGGTCAATATTTTGTTCATAGTTATCATTTCCAGATCTGATCTCAAGAATTGTGTTTGAATAGTCTCTTTTTTTAGATACGAAGATGTAGTTCAATTGAGCGATAAACTGGGATTGGAAATAAGGGTGTAGTGAGAAGTCACTGCCTATATATATGTACATATATGTACGCATCTCGTTTAGTGAAGGGAAATGTTTTACCTGATTAAAAAAATTAATTTTTACAAAAGTCTTGATCTTATTCATTCATACGTCCCTGTCAGAATTTTCTTGTTAGTATCTATGTATATGTACATATATATATATGTATGTGTGTGAATATGAATAATTATAGAACTTGTAATGTAATGTAATACCACATCTGTCTATCGGTCTTTACCTGTATGTACGCTTGTATGATTTCATATATATAAATATGGATACTACATAGACATAGGATATCAACTCATCTTAAGATATGATAATTTTGATGTGCGTAGGTGAAAATTATATATATATATATATATATATATATATATATATATATCATGTGGCAGAAAATTTTACAATCAGTAATTTTTTCTTACTTTCTGTCTCCTGGAGAAAACGCTCATCCCTGTCTGAAAGTCTCATCCTCAATGAGCCCTCATACAAATATGCCTCCCGTTATTATGTGATTGCATATAAATATATAAATGTGTGCGTATACCTGTAATTCATCCTTTCATAAATGCTCAAATGCTCAAATATAGGCATAGACATACACACACACACACGTTGGAGTGTTTTGTATCTTATAACTTTAGATATTTGTTTGTATGCTAAAGTGAATGTCAATAAGTTTGGTAAAAATGAGGAAATAAGGTTAGTAGGTAAATTTTTTAAAAATATTTCTCTTCTATATATAATGGTGTACATATATGTCCGTCATTATAATTAACCTTATATCTAGATAGACCTGGTATGTCTACTATATTATCATACTCCTCATAAATCTGAAATTTCAAACTCTTTCAATTATCTATTAAAAGTAAGCGAATCATCATCGACAGCAGCAGATCTAACTATAATGAACATTGTAGACTGATTGTAAGGAAACAGTCATTGAAGAACTATGTGAGTCAGTTACTGTCTTATCACATTCTTGATAGATTCCAATCTTACACAATACTTATCATAAGCCAAACTGAATCAAGTGTCAAGACGCAACAATATAGACTAATGAAAAACAGGACAAACTGAATGCTACTAAATTAGGACTATTTTGTCATCAGTATTTTTGGTCAAGGGTTTTTAACAGTTCTTATTCTGCTAATGTTTGTTCTTGTTTTCAGCCTTCAATCAATTTATTTATTCACTTTTTCCTTCATGGATTAAAGCTTTCAAATGGGATTCTCTCCTTCATTTCACACTTGTTCAGGATGAGGTTAACATTAGATTTAATTATTGGTTTTACGAATTATGCTTCGATTTTAGACCATATTATGAATACTAGTTAAAGAACATTAGACTGACGTAATGCTACATGATCACATCTGGTTAAACAACTACACATGCATTGTTTGAATAGACTAATTGAATAAACTGTTAGTGGCATGAAAGTTTCTACATATTGGTTTCATCATTACCGGGTGAACCACTGAAAATCAGCCAATACTGAAAAGAGCTTTATTCTAACATTAGAAAGCTTATCAGTTCATAACTTCAGCCATAAGCTAGAAAGAGCCAAGAACATCCAATTCTTTCGTCTTGCATAATTCAAAAACACTGACAATAATAGTCCACTTTTTTCCAACTCCATTTATTGTCATTTACATACATTTAACATCTTCTAGATTTTCAGTTATTAACCAGCTGATATCACTTAGTGACAGAAACTAGATTGCAAATAAATAGACAGTATTTAAATAGAAAGTTAAAAATGAATAATAACAATAATAGTTGGTTGTATCTGTAATTCATTGACGTTATCGTTATAATGACTGACAATTATCAGTAAAACTTTATATCTTATATTTATCACGGTAAAATTGAATATAGAGTTTTAGGGTAGCTAGTTGAGACTATAATTTATGGGCGACCTTCCAGCGTCACTAATCTGACCTGGAGAGTGCGCACCTAATAAATAAGACCAAATGAGCGTTATAAACCTGTGTGAAGAATTAGAATTATGATTTACAGTTGGTGATTATGGTTAGAAATTATATTTCGTGTTCTCATCACTGAATGACACCAACTATAATGCCAAAACTCTATTTAGCCAAATGGATAAGTGAATTTCGCTCCAAAATCCGAGTTCTGTTATCTTGTATCTGATTGGTAAAAGTCACGCCGTCTGTGAAGTACGGAAAGGAAAAAAGACCTATTCATCAAAAATTTGTAGTGTTTGAGTATTTTTTTTTTCAGTTTGCTAATAAACCTTTCACAATCAAGTTGGACAGCCTATAAATTAATGCTCGTAGCAATAATGTGTAGCTATGCTGTAGTGACGATCAGTGTTTTTCATACGAAATGAGTTTTGTCTTATCACATGGAAATTCTTGTTGAACTCCCAATATTACTTACTTACTTAAGCCTGTTATTACTCATAGAGAAGCAGAGGTCGCCCATCAGCATTTCTGACCAAACTCAGTCCTTGTCAATCCTTTTTAGTATCTTCACGTTGCTGTTCATCCCTTCCATATCTGCCTCCAATCCCCGACGCAATGTGTATTTTGGCCTTCCTCTTTTCCACTTCCCTCCAGGACTCCAAGTTAGGACTTGCCTCGTGATGCAGTCTGATGATTTGCGTAACGTATGTCCTATCCATTTCTATCGTCTTTTCTTAATTTCTTCTTCAACTGGAAGCTGGTTTGTTCTCTTCCACAGAAGGCTGTTGTTGATGGTATCCGGTCAATGGATGTTGAGCATCATGCGTAGACAACTATTTATAAATACTTGTACTCTCATGATGATGGTTGTATTAGTTCTCCAAGTTTCAGCATTGCACAGTAGAACTATCTTGATGTTCTTATTGAAGATTCTGAATATGATCCAAATGTTTATAATTTTCAGGAAAATCTCTTTTCGCGCTTTATAAAGTGAAAATGGCAATGTAATATGATTAATTCCTACTTTTTGTTATACAGATAGTAATTGGAACTTAATTAAACTAGTTTATGTCCCGGTATTTTTTTTCGCAATTAAACCTCAAACAGACCGCTTCATTGAGGATTCCTTGAATAATAAAGTGGCTGGTGACACAAAAATACTGAATCGGACCACTATTTCTCTGTTCGACTGCTCCATATTGCCGACCCAAAGCTCAATTTCCCTAGCTCTCATGTGAATTTATTAATTATGATTTTATAGGCAATCCTAAAATTTCCATAAAATTAGTTCTTATCACGAATGAGATCCAGAAAGAAACTAATTTGAACTCAGTTAAATGAGAAACTGTAGGAACGTCTACAAAATTAAGGTGAAGGAAGCTTATACTAAGTGAAAAGACGAGTTTAGGAAAACTTGCCTAACATTAGTCTTCACTTGGGATTTATCGGTTAATTACCCTTCATCCTTGACTTTGCAATCCAGTCTTTCATAACTGTTCCGTGTGATAGTGACGATGTTTTCAGGCAAACTGTAGTGTCGAAGAACATTCCACAAGGTTTTCCAACGTATGTTGATGATTGCTTTCTTATAAGCAAGGAATTTAATGTAAAGTAATAAATTCCACTCAATTGATTGTTCGGCAACGATTTGTTAGGTCGTTAGTTCACCAATATATGATCGATCCTTACGAAAGTCAAGTTGTTGATCTCAAAGTTGAGTATCTACTGAATTTATCATTAGGTTCAGTGACATTCTGTTAAAAGCTTTACCTGGCACTGATTAAGGTGTGATCCTTAGTATTTCTCACACTTAACCATATCTTCCATTGGGCACGCTGATGCAGTATCGTTTTTTTAAGTTGGTTGGTATTTATTCTTACTTTAAAATTTTCCTAAAGAGGACATATCGCATATTTGCACTATTCGCCTACATCTGACTGTGGTGTTTCAACTGGCGAATACCACCTGAACCACTTGCATCACTACTTCTCATTTGTTTGATAACCTTGTTAATTCCTTATATTATTCGTGGGGTAAAATTTATGCGGTGGTCTGGGTAGATGTTCGTTAGATTCAATAGTGCTGGTCTGTTCATGAGCTCCTCGAAATGATTTATCCACTTTTTCTGCTGTTGTTGAACCTCAGTGATTGGTTTTGTTTGTTTACCTCTAACTAGTCATTTTTGTCTGCTGTATTTTTCTTCCGGCTTTTTGGTTTTATTATATGGTTCTTTCATATTTGCCTTTCTATTGTACTTATCTGGTCATCCACATTTCTGTCAGTTTTAATGTTCTTCTTCATTTGTTTGTTTGATTCTGAATGCTCAGCATGTGTTTTGTCTATCTCTGCTCTTGTTAACTGATGTCTTCTTTTTTATGTGTTCTTGTTTCTTGCTTAGGTTGTCTGCAATGATCTATTGTTTATTCTCGTGCCTCTTGGAGCCTAACACATCTTAGCATATTGAATCTATTGCTTCTCTTGTCACTTTCGAGTTCTTCATCTCGGTTTGCTCTTTCTTCCATTAGATCATATAAGACTTGAAACTTGTTGATAGCTAAATCCAAGTAGCTGAGTTTATTAGAACCTCGATTAAAGGGTGTATTAAATTATTTTTTGCTTCAATTTGGCTTGGTCACTACAAGGTGGTAACCTGAAGCCATATTAATTACCTTCTCTTTTTTCTTACGCAATCGATGGATCACAAGAAGTTCTGTTTGTACATATGTGATTAGTCTAGTTTTCCTGGTGTGGCATCAGTGTAACTCCTTGTGTGCGTGTGCGTGGCCAGAACATAACATCTTTTGTGAAGTTGGTCTTTATTATCTTGTCTGAGTTCAATGGGTTCCACTTATTGAACTGATGGCTAGATTGTATCTTCTCATTTTTGATGCTATTTGATGAACTCTTTTGGTCTCCCATTTTGTCTGGACATTTCATATTCTTACGTTTGTTATGGCACTGGCTGTAAGAAAGGATGTTTAACAGGGAAATGTTCAATATTGTCAATAGGAATTAATTATCTTAACTTTTATATTTCCTATACAAATTTCATGGTTTTATTTGTAAAAGTTTTCATTTCTTAATATGTTGGTAGATATAACGTTGATGAATGTATATGA